GATCTAGTTCTGAAAAAAATAATTACGTTACTCTAGCACTACCAGATCACACTTAACAAAGTAACTCCGCTCGGTCATAAGTTCCGTATACTGAAGCTATTTTGTTATTTTTTCTGGTAAAATTAGAGGCGAAGCCTCCTCACTTTGTGAGACCCCCCTTAGATTCGACGATCGCTAATACAAAGTGAAAAAGTCAACGAACTCGACGATCTGGGAAATTTCAAGTCCCCCATGACATGAAATTTGATAAAGGTTCTGATAAAGAACAATAAGCTACTTCCCGTTATAATATTTTTAACCCTTATTCGTACTTTTCTTATCGCGGGACCATATAAGATAAGGAAAAAGTTCTAGATAGTATTCGTATCGTTATAATCAAAAATCGACCGTGAGAAATGATTCTGCAGGAGAGTATCACAAAACCTTATACCTAATTTCGTACGACTTGTCATTATATCTTACTAACGCTAATATTAAAAAATTTTTTACAACGACTCTTAATGTTAAAAGGCCATAAACTAGGCTGGTAATGATAGATTATTTCTTTCTGTATCCTTTTTGTAAGGAAACTGGTACGTACCACAACCCAGAAAAATCTGTCATATCGATATAGATAACCTTTGCGGACCTGTGGAACTGTTAAGTATAACATATATTTTTTCAACGCGACTATGTCAGTATGAATCACCAATCTTTAGTTCGATTTTTTTTGTAATTTCAAATGTCATACGTGGATATGTTAAAATAGTACGCATATATATTTGGCATTTCTTTGAAGCCACCTATTCCACGAATACGTATCCACAGCCCTTGTTCTAAATTTGTATATGTTTACAATATATTTTTGCTATTTTATAACATCTGTTATAGTAAAAATTTCGAATATTCATTATAAATTATACGTTGATTAAACATTTATTATTTATCGTAGAATATCAAAAATTCGACAGCCCTAAATTAATGCTACACAAATATTAAGGGCTTGTTAAATAAACATACCATCTAGAAAAGGATAATCGAGGCTATTATTATGCACACTGCATAAAATTTATCGCTATTGTTATTAAAGCCGATCTATCGTGCAAGCATATGATTTAATTTTCCAGCACACTCCATCATAAGTTGGCGGTTGCGATGCCAACTGAGATACGCTTATTTCTTATACAATTATATATAAAAAAGGTTTACCGTGACTACATCGCACCTACATCGCACCTACATCGCACCTTCATCGTATCTTCACTACATCTACAGAGCAGTTAACTCGAATTGGTATTACATCCGAAACTATATAAAGAGAGGTAGATTTGGAACTTCTGCATGTATGATGTAATCGTATGTTGATCAAATATCCGATATCTAATACTGCATAGAACATCGAAAATTCGACAGTATCCTATGGCCTGGATGTACAAATATTTATGGCTTATCAGATAATCTGCCCTTAAAAACAAACATACTATTATCTAAAAAAAGGATAATCGAGGCTATTAATACAACACCAAATATAACAAGCCACGTAACAATAACCAACTTGAAACATTCCTTAAG